TTAAGTAGATCTATTGAAACTGCACTGTAGCGGTAAATATCAAAATTAGTGATGTCTGCTGAACTGCAAAAATTGCTAAGGTAACAAAGCAGCCAATCCCCTAACCTAGCATTGTCTCCACAGAACACAAATGGCAGTTGTTACTCCAGCTCTGAAAATTTTATACAGGGAATGGGAGAAACCCATTTAAAGATGGAGAAAAAGTTGTTTTCCAGGACAAAGGAGATGCTTAGGATTATAGAGAGACCTACATACACACATAACAGAAATATAGGCTTAGAGACCAACTCCGAGAATAAATGCTTAAAAGGGTTAGAGGGGATTTACTAAAACCTGAGCACTCAGAATCTGGTGCAAATGTGCATGGTGGGCAATCAGCTTCTAAAATCAGCTTGTTAAATTAAGCTTTGGCAATAAAATGTGGTAGCTGCTTGGTTTCTATGCAGAGCTGCAGCAAATTTTTCACTCTTCAGTTTTAGTAAATTATTATTATTATACAGGATTTATATAGCGCCAACAGTTTGCACAGCGCTTTACAAAATGAAGGTAGACATTACAGTTACAATACAATTTGGTACAAGAGGAACCAGAGGGTCCTGCTTGTTAGAGCTTACAATATAGGAGATAACCCCCATTATGTCTAGGGGTAGACTGAGAGGCCTAATTACTTACCCTAAATCCTGCTCTGGCGCAGTCTTCTTCTCCCTGATGCTCCAGCCTGTTGGCATCCCCAAAATGTCATCATGTTCAATGCAAGGCTATTAACCCTGTATTGTGTGTGGAGGGGGTGACCATGCGGCCATGGTATTGACCTGCTTAGAGAGGACTGGCAGCAAGCCAGTCGCACTGCTAGAGGGAGCCTGCTGGAGTGCAGAAAAAGCTAAGTGCCGGTTCACAGATATGCAGGTTGGAAGCGGTTTGAACATCATCTAATCCGCATGACATGTGAAAAAATATTGCTTCCCATGGTGCCTGTTCACATATGTCCGGTGCACTGGCAGTGCGAATTGAAAAAGAGACCTGAATGATTTTTAAGCAGTGAGGTCCAGTTCAGGTGTGAATTACAGGCTATTGACTTGTATGGGAACCGTTTCTAAACTGCACATGTCATCAGTTGTGAACAGGATAATATCCTGACCTGAACCTGATCCAAACCTGACATGAACCACTGAACTACTGTGTCAATTAGCTGTGAAACCTGAGCTTCAATCCGTAGTGCACATGTGTGAATCTACACTTAGTGTTTCTCCTTACTCCAGCATCCCAAGACTTAGTAAGCATTTAAAGGGAGTGCCAAGCTAACAATATTTTGCTAGTTTTGGATAGAGTGGGGAATGCTTATAACTCCTGTTGGGTTGTTACTGCTTCTCAGGGCTGTTAAAGGGATTTCATCTCATCTCCTGTCCTGCTGGCACCAATTTAAGTAGATAGGTCTGAGGGAAAATTTGCTACAAGGACACAGATGAAAAAAAAAACAAAAAACGAACGCAAATACAATCCAATGAGAGCATCAAACAAATGTTCAAGAGTCAAAAGTAATTTCATGATAAAATGGATTCATAGCAGAATACAGGCAACGCATTTCAGGGGTCAAACACACTCCCCCTTCATCAGGACTTCAGAATTCTGACTGTGCTTAAACTCACTTGAGCAGAAACAAAACAAAAACAAAACAACAACTGCACTGTTATTTACTATTTTGGAAATGTCAGGAGGGCAGGTAATGCGAGTGTTACTGAATGCAGCATGCAGCATGCAGCATTGTGTACACTTGTGATTGGGGGGTAGTAAAAACACATGGTTCAGTCACGTTATACCGACCCCTGGCTGCTTCCTCTTAAGCTGAAAAGCCAATGGACAGAAGTGTACACATGTTGTGGTCACAGTAAGCATGAAACTCCCAGTCACATTTGGTGGGCAGTTCAAGACTGCTGCTCATTTATCTCCCAACCATGTGCAATGCATGCAATTGCAATGCGAAGGTGTGGACTTGTGGAGTTAAAGCATCAAATCAACATAACATCTCCTCATTGCCTGTTAAATACCCTCTGAAAAGCAATCCACCACAGATCACTCTTCAGAGGGCAACACTAGTGTAATAGAGTTCTAAGAGTTTTAAAGTTTTAAAGATGAGGTGATGACCCACTAGTTACTAAATACATTCCTTCTGCCCTACCTCTACCTCCCTCTTGCAAATTTCCTACAGGACATAAACAATTTAAAATGAACATGTCAGATTTACCAACATATTTATAAATATATTATTATTGGTGAAGTGCCCTGGTAACGTAAAGGCAATTAACTGTGCTTGTCTACAACTGAGCTTCTCTGTACCTGGAAGGATCCTTGGCCAGAGGCCCAGGCTTTACATGGGGCTTAGGCTGCCCTCGAAGGTGAACATGAGCCTAAACCCTCATGGCACTTAGCCCTATCTCTGTTATTTCACTGTGAAATAGCAAAGGGTCCATTGGTCAGAGAAATTATGGATGACAGGGGACTGGGCTTACACAGAGAAAGAGAATGCTTGGTGAGTCCTTGTATAAAGATGTAAATGTACAATATGTAAAACAATGCATTCTTTCCAAATACATGTAATACATAATCAATCCTGGGACCTGGATCCAGATACCTTGACCTGGCATTTTACCACAATTGTTAGAATATACACAAATAAAACACAGTCTGTGCTGATAACCAACTAGACAGCTAGCTAGGAATTGATATACAGTATACCCAAAAGTGAATCCAATGAGTGAATAAATTGCATATCATAAATATAATCAGTCAGTCTATTCTACCATATAAGAGAAAGTGAAAAAAAATAAAAAAAACCCACTGTGACTTCCAAATCTTGAATATGCAGGCACCAAAGCGTGATACCCAGCAGCCAAAGGTAAGTATTAGGCTTTCCAGGAAATTTAGCCACTAGAGATGTGCACAACAAAAAAATTGTGTTGTATATTCACATTTGTATCCTATATTCTTTGTTCCAAATTGATTCATATATTATTTCAGCGACTTGCTTACGATTTTGATGTTTTACGACTTTGGCCTATCATAACAATGCAGAGTGTAACACATATTATTGAACTGAAAAAAACCCTCTGAAGTCACAAATCAATGAAACAAATGAAAACAAATTAATTCCTTGTTTTTGCTATAATTACTTTGGATTCATTTAAATTTGTTGCTATTGTGATTCAGAAATTCAGGTACATCTGAATCTCCAAATAACAAAAATTGCATTTGAATTTCAATTCATAACGAAATGTCTATTATCCACCTAAGCAGAGGTGGACGAAGTTTGCACTTGCTGATGTTACGCACTGCTGCCAGGAGAGGTAGCAGCGATTTTGCTGGTTTTGCGGATGGCTTTGATAAAAAGTTTTAATGACTGCACTATGACAACCCTTTCTTATATGTTTGCTGGGACTTTAAGTGACTTAAAACCAGTGAGGCAAGGGTAGAAATGAGTGGACATTGTAAGAGAGCATTGGTGTAAAGAGCTGCAGTGTATTGAAGTTTAATCTATCCTTGGGGTAGTGATTTATACGCTGTTAACCTCTGCTTAGGAGATTACATTTCCGGTAAGCCTAATACTTACCTTTGGCTGCTGGTTGTCACGCTTTGGTGCCTGTGTATTTACGATTATGAAGTCCCAGTGCTTTTTTTCCCCATCTTTTAATTTCTTCATTTTCTTTTATATGGTGGAAGATATTGGACTCACATTATGAACTGATTATATTTTTGATATGCGATTTGTTCACTCTTAGATTCATTTTTGGTTATGCACTCATATACTGTAAGTTATTTGTATTTTTCACTGATATATCATTTTCTTGACATATTGTTAATAATATTCTATTTTATAGATAGAAATAGGCACTCTCTTTTTGTCAATGTTAGAATATATATATATATTTTGGTGGTTTTGAGAAGACCAATCCAAGATAAATTACATTTTTTAATGTTGTTAAAAGCAAAAGAAACGTGAAGGGACAGAAATAATTCAATGCTTTTAGTTTTATTGCTGCCATCTTACCATTTACTTCTATTATACTGCATAGCTCATTATAGAGATGTACATGGAGAGGGTTCATAAAAACCAATGGACAGATCCATGTTCACATGCACATGAACACATACTTTATGTTTAAGTCATACACATGCTAATTTAATTCAGGCCTGTCTTTCACATTGACTTGTAAACTGTACTCATTTGCTTGCCTTTGGCACAAGTGTCATACTTGATTCATTGACATCATTATATGGTTGTTGGCTTTAATACATTTAAAAAAGTGATTTTCTTAAACTAACTGTTCAGAAGCATTGTAACTGTTCTGATAATTTTTTCTATAAAATGAGACAGCCTTTAAATATTTGTCTGCTTGACAGGTAAAAACTACCTTCCTACAAGATACTCACTCACTCACTCAATCTATCTATCTATCTATCTATCTATCTATCTATCTATCTATCTATCTATCTATCTATCTATCTATCTATCTATCTATCTATCTATCTATCTATCTATCTGTCTATCTATCTGTCTATCTGTCTATCTGTCTGTCTGTCTGTCTGTCTGTCTGTCTGTCTGTCTGTCTGTCTGTCTGTCTATCTATCTATCACACCCCCTGAACTCCAGAAGACATGGTGGTACCCCCAGAGACAGGGTGTGCTGACATTTTCCCTCAGATTCTAGATCCCTAAAGCAAGCCATAGATTATGTAGTTTTCTTTCCTTCAACCAAAAGGTTGCAGGAAAGAAAATCACTTGATTCCCCCATCACCAGAGTCAGTGTTATGTATTTTCCCCATCATCAGAATACATTTATCACTGCTGGTGGCTATAGCCGTTATAGCTATCAGCAGTGATCACATGAAAAAGACTCAAGAGGCTGGTTGTACGAGAGCTGATCAATAGATCAACTTTTGTACAACCAGCCTGCCCATAGATGGATGCAGAACAGACTGAATTTCAATTAATCTATGGCCGCTCTGAAAGTGTTTCTAAACCCACAACAGTAAAATCAGTCTGTATATGCAGTAAAGCATGCTTGTTATGCTCACTGTGGAACCTAAGGGGTTAATTCTCTGCATTGAGTAGAAAAGCTGTTTGATCCTATCTTCTCTGATCCTCCCCTTCTTCCAGTGTCCTCTCTTACCTCCTGATAAGACATATCATGTGGAGACACTCTGCGCATGCTCAGTTTGGTGTGTATTGCTAGAGAGGTTTTTTTTTTTCTTGAGAGAGTGCATATGATCAGCACAGGGCCAATCCACACTGTCCAGAGAGAGGTCAGGGGTTCTGCATCCGCCTAGAACAAAAAGAAAACTCCTCCTACAAGCTTTAACCAGTGCTCTGCTGGACACTGATAGAAGTCACAAGACTGCTCTAACTGCTGATTAGAAAAAAATGAGAATTAAGAAATTTATATTTGCTAAAATAATTGCATTTTCATGTTCTGTGTACTGTGGGAGACCAGATATAGTGAATGCAGGGTCCTGGGTTTAGTAACACTTTAAGCAATAGTGTAAAATGTAACTTTAAGATGTAAGCAAAAACAAAAAAGAGCATTTTTGCTCACACTCAAATCTCCAGGGGAGAAAAAGGTAGGGAATTCAGAACACCCATCAATTGCTTGCAGACTCACTAGCACAACAATAGACATCAGCACAGGAAAAGGGCCTTTAACCGCCTCCCGCCCACCATATAGTAATATGACGGATGCAAGGTGGTTCTCTCGTTCTGGGATGACGTCATATGACGTCCCATTCTAACTGCACATGCGCGGCTCCCGAAATGCGCAGAGCTGCGATCGGTGGTGCGCTGTGTCCCTCGGACACAGTGGATCACCGATCCACGGAAAGAGCCGAAGATGTCGGCTCGGTCATGTGATCAGCTGTGTCCAATCACAGCTGATCACATGTAAACAGGGAATGCCTGCTATATACAGTTGTGTCCAAAATTATTCAACCCCCACTGAAATTGAGTGTTTTGGCCAGTTTGACATTGCTTTTGATCATTCAGTCATCTTGCTTACATTTACATTAAAGAGGCACTTGTAGGTCAGACAAATATAACATAACAGTTATAATGAAATAACCACAAATGTCTTTTCTGTGCTCACAGCATTATCAGTTTTATTCAACCCCCAAGTGACATTCAATCTTAGTACTTAGTACAGCATCCTTTTACAGTTATAACAGCTTTTAAACGTGAAGCATAGCTTGACACAAGTGTCTTGCAGCGATCTACGGGTATCTTCGCCCATTCTTCATGGGCAAAGGCCTCCAGTTCAGTCACATTCTTAGGCTTGCGCACTGCAACTGCTTTCTTTAAGTCCCACCAGAGGTTCTCAATCGGATTTAAGTCTGGTGACTGCGATGGCCACTCCAAAATGTTCCAGCCTTTCCTCTGCAACCATGCTCTAGTGGACTTGGAGGTATGCTTGGGATCATTGTCCTGTTGAAAGGTCCAACGTCTCCCAAGCCTCAGGTGTGTGACGGACTGCATCACGTTTCCATCCAATATCTCCTGGTACTGAAGAGAATTCATGGTACCTTGCACACGCTGAAGCTTCCCTGTACCTGCAGAAGCAAAACAGCCCCAAAGCATGATTGACCCTCCACCATGCTTCACAGTAGGCAAGGTGTTCTTTTCATCATAGGCCTTGTTCTTCCTCCTCCAAACATAGCGTTGATCCATGGGCCCAAACAGTTCTAATTTTGTTTCATCAGTCCACAGAACACTATCCCACAACTTTTGTGGTTTGTCCACATGGCTTTTGGCATACTGCAGTCGACTCTTCTTATTCTTTGGAGACAGCAAGGGGGTACGCCTGGGAGTTCTGGCACGGAGGCCTTCATTACGCAGTGTGCGTCTTATTGTCTGGGCTGAAACTTCTGTACCCACATCTGACAAATCTTTTCTCAGTTCCTCAGCAGTCACACGGGGACTTCTCTCCACTCTACGCTTCAGGTAGCGCACAGCAGTCGAAGTCAGCATCTTCTTTCTGCCACGACCAGGTAGCGTTTCAACAGTGCCCTTTGCCTTGAATTTGCGAATGATGCTTCCTAAGGTGTCTCTTGGTATGTTTAACATCTTTGCAATCTTCTTATAGCCATTGCCCTTCCTGTGAAGAGAAATCACCTCTTCTCTTGTCTTCCTGGACCATTCTCTTGCCTTCACCATGTTTGTAACCACACCAGTAAATGTCTAGAAGGAGCTGAGTATCACAGTCATTTTAAAGCTGCCTAATTGGTGCTTATTATGCTTGATTGCTGCTCGGTGACATCCACAGGTGTTTTCAATACCTGATGGAAAGCACCTGTATGAACCTCTGTTCTTCAGAGTGGTAGTCTTTAAGGGGTTGAATAATTGTGGCAATGAAGAAACCACATAAGAACCATTTACTACTGTATTACATAAACAATTGATGTCATTTTAGTTGCATTTGGGTAGTTACAACGTCCTTGTAGGATTTGATTCTGAATACAATTCCAAATGTACACTATAGTCCCTAAACCCCTTTACAGCATTGGGGGTTGAATAATTTTGGACACAACTGTATGAGCCAAACAGATCAAACAAGGGCAAAGTTACACAAAAACAGTGAACAAAAATGTGATAACCAGTGTTCCTATCAAAGACCTTGTATACTAAATTTGCATGCAAAAAGCAACAAAAAAAAAAAAAAAAAACTGGGTCCAAGTTTTGCCATACACCCCCATCAGCTTAAACTGAAAAGGGATCATAATAGGTGCAGCAAGGGCAGTTTGACAAAGGATAGTATAAACCCTTGTAAACTGCACCAGTAAACTCCTGAAGAGACTAGGTTTAAATCTGCCTGCAGGACTTCACTGTGTAATAAATGAAGCAATCCTCAAGAGGAAGGATAAGGACTTGGATGGTAAGGTCTATGAAAATTGTTGTGAGACAGAATACGATAGCCCCAAAAGGATTATTTCTTATGGCTTTGGTGGTGCACAGTTGGTGAAACTCTGTGATTTCCGCCTACTTTCAGTTAGGAGAGCAACTGTAGAGGAAGTATCTGGTGGAGTTAACTTGAAAAAAAATACAAACATACAACAAAGATAAGGCAAGTTCAGGGGGAGTGAAAAAAAGGCAATTCTGAATAAATGGTGCAGTTCTGGATAATTAATATAGTACTGCTAAGGGTAGACTGAATAGGGTGGGTGTTTCTCAGGGAACAGGAGGGTAAGGCTGTGCTGATCTAAGTTTTTTTTTTTGCTGTACATGCATGCAATGGGTTGAAAAGCAGTCCTGCACCTCAGCCATAGGTGGCTGTGATGGACAGACCCTTCATGGATTTAGGCCTTGAGTTATTTTGCTGGAGACACAGAATGGAGTCCCACAACTCCACTCTGTACTGATGGAGATGTGGAATGGAGACCGGTGAATCTGCTCTGTACTGCTGCAGCACTGTTAATTAGGCTGCACTGGTAGGCAAGTGCATGGAGAGTTCAGCACTCTACACTGAACATCTGCTTCCTCCTCCGGTATTGCACCAAATGCCTGTGAACCTCCCCAAACAGTTTGCAAAGACTCCATCTTATTCTCCTCCTAGGCTGCCCAGACACCTGGGAACTATAGGTTCCTCGCAGCGGTGGAGTGGTGCCACCTATTCATAATGAAACTGCACCACCCATAATCCTTTTCTCAACAGCATGTCATCCTCAGTGTCCAAGGCCAACCAATCAGAAAAGGACATAAAAGTCAATAGGGATATAGCAAACAGACATCCCGGGACTTGTTGTCCCACAATAACAATCTTGTGAAGTTCATCTTGACTTTCTCAAAGGGCCCTATATACCAGCACTTGGGTACACATCAAACCTACTTGTCATATGACTACTTGTTACAAAGCAGAAATCAAGACTAAACATTTTTTTTTATAGCTGTCATCTGAATGGGGATATCTAATAATGTAATGATGATATCTTTCAATGTGGACACTATCAAAGGTCCAACGTTTCTCCTTAGTTTGGGGAGATTTCGCTGTTATATGTTATATTTTGGAACAGGTAGTGAAGAGAAATTGCTCCAATTTCCAAGTTGCCAAACACAGCAATAAAAGCCTGACATAAGTTCTAGACCATCTCCACACTATCAAAAACAAAAAAGTGTTGGCTGAAGTTCTACTTTTCCATTTTCTTTGTCTCTTTCTCATTAGAAGCCATTGGGAAGCCAATGTAAAATACCTATTTTATCACACATGAATCTGTAGATAATTTGTCAGTAGATATTTAGCATAGCATAGTAAAATGCATTTCCAGGTTTTTCCATTTTGAAAGTCAGCGGCTCAAACTGATCACAACAGTATTGATTTTTTCCCAAATGCATTAACTTAGTAAAAGGAAATTGAAAATTCTGCTTTGTTGAACACAAGCTGCTGTAAACATCTTGAGCATTTCAATATATGAAAAGACATGGGGATCTGATTGTGAGATTTGCTTTAGCAAACCTGTCAAAATAGTTCAAGTGTGTACATTTAGAGAAGCACCTGTCTCTGAGCAAGAAAATGCCATACTAATCGTGCTGAGCGGATATGATTACAAGTTTTCTAGTAGAAGCTTTTTATTATGTTAAATTATGTCAATCATAATTCACTATAATTTCACCTTAGCCTGATAGTCTTAAAGTATTTATCATTCAAAAGCAAAAATGCTTTTCAGGAGTTTATGTATGAAGAAAAAAGAAAATGTACCTTCGAGTGCATAACACATTCTAGAATCACCTCTTGCTTCAGTCACATTGAATTTACTTACAAATGTGGCTCAAGAGTTAGAGACATTAACATCTATAATTATTTTCCTCTATCTATAGAATATTGTTTTATGCCACCCTCTGCAGTTTTTGTTTTTAGTGTATGCAGTATAATCTGCTTGTAATGCTGTTCTTTCCATTAAAATACAAAAGCATTCATTATTGATAAGTAATATGTTTGGTTATTGCAATTACCTAATTATACTATAGCATACCTTTGTTCGCTTGGGCTTCTGCATAATTTATACAGTGAATACACTGTTTTTGCGTACAGTTACATGACAGATGTTATGATGGCTAATCTTGTAAAGCTATATTGATTTAAGGCCGTGTATAGATATATTGCTCTGCTTGAAATGGATATTAATTTGATTTTATTTGATCTGGTAATTGATTTATTGGGTAATAAATATCATCTGCATGGGGAAATTGATTGTGTAAATGTATAACCAAGTATCCTCAGGTGGTTGTGATCTAGCCCATTGAACTATCACCTAATAATTTAATAAATTGGTGCTTTCCTTGATCCCGAAAAACAATTTGAGTGACAGTA